AATATCTGGGGTGACCAAGTGCCAGCGCATGCAGATTATGCCAGTACATGTTCACTCGTCTCCTCTCATCCCAAGGAAAAGGGGAGAAAATGGCTTTTTTTGATTATACAATCGTTCTCTAGCATATTTTATCATCGCCTTCGTTCTGCCAAAATCGCCAGACATCCCTCTTAAAAGGAGCCCACCCCATTTCTTTCCCATCAGACTCGTTCATAAAACTTCTCCTTTCTTCATTCCCCATTACATGACTCTCACCCATTTCTTAACGGCTAAGAGCGATGTCGTCGATTCTGAGGAGCAGCTTCACGGTCTCGGCCGCCAGTTCTATGGCGGAGGTTGAGACGAGCAGGGGCTGGAGGACGTTCTCGTCGGTGATGTTGTTCTTGACGCCGCCGCTCTTGATGGAGATGCCGGCCTGCTTCTCGCCAAGGGCGTGGCGGTGCCGCAGCTCGGTGACGACCTTGATGGAGTTCAGGCCGGCGTTCTCGGCGAGGGTGACGGGGATGATTTCCATGGCGTCGGCGAAGGCCTTCCAGCAGATGGCCTCGGTGCCGCTGAGCGAGCGCGCCTGGGTGGCGAGCGACTGTGCGATCTCGATCTCCGGGGCGCCGCCACCAGCAAGCAGGGCCTTCTTCTTCACCAGGCAGCGCATCACGCACTGCGCGTCGTGGATGGAGCGCTCGACCTCGTCGAGGATGAGCGAGTTGGCGCCACGGCACACCAGCGAAACGGTCTGGCCTTGCGACTTGACGCCAGTGACCTTGACTATCCTTGCGCCGGAGCTCTGGACCTCCTCGATTAGGTCGGCCGAGCCGAGCTTGTCCTCGGTGAAAGAATCGATGTCGGCAATGGGCTTGCAGCCGGTGCTCTTGGTGATGAAATCGATCTCATCGCGCTCGATTTCCTTGACGCAGAGGATGTTGAGCTTGGCGAGGAAGTGCAGGGAGAGGTCGTTGACCGCGTCCCTGAGGATGGACTTCTGGATGAAGAGAACGTTGCACTTGGCCTTCTTGATCTTCTTCACCATGTTCAGCAGGTATGTTCTCTCCTCCTTGAGGATCTTGTCCATCTGCCTATAATCGTTGACGACAATCTGGTTCTCCATCTGGCAAACAGTTAGCACGGCCGGCTTCATGTTGTCCCAAGCTCCACTCTTACATCAGGCTTCGGCGGGCTCAGCTGGAACTGGATCAGACCAATTCTGGCCTTCTCCATTCTCACGGGGCCACCGCCACTCTTCACAACCTGCTGTTGCAGCACCAGACCGTCAACCATCTCGCTCTCGTCCACGGTACCGCCGGGCTTCTTCAGAATCCTGATGTTCTTCAAGTCAACGTTATCCGCCGTCTTCACGTCGATGATCTTAAGGACGGAATCCACGGCCATCGGGGCGAGCTTAGGCTCCTGAGCAACGATCTTAGAAGACAGGGAGGTGGATGCGGCCTTGAGGAGCGCGGCGCGGTCGGTGAGGGCGAGAGGAATGGACATGTCGTGGAGGACCTGGACTGCTGCCGCCGCCGCACGTTGGAAGGACTCCGAAATGGTGGTAGGGTGGATACCTGCGTACTTGCGTCTCAGTATGCGTTCAAATCATGTTTCCGGCGCACGAGGTATACCCTTTGACAATAACCGCTCCGCCGCTCCTAGCAAGCTACCGCAAATCACAACCACCGACGTCGTGCCGTCACCAGCCTCAATGTCCTGGGCGTTTGCGAGGTCGACAAGCATCTTCGCCGCGGGGTGAAGGACACTCATGTCACGGAGCATAGTGTTGCCATCGTTGGTCTTGGGCGGGTCAGGACTTCAGATTCGTCTTGAGGGGGCGCGGAGCTTACAATGAGGGTCTCGCCTTTGCCGGTTTGGATCTGGAGATATGTCAGGAAGCTGTAGATGACGTCGAAGATGGAACACCTTACCATCTTATCCATACCCCTCGGACCCAGCGACTAGTATTGCAACGTTAGCCTGCTGTCCAGCTCCTGCTGAGGCCCTCCTTTTGGCTTACAGTCCTGATGGCATCCGCAACAGCTGTTCCGGGAGTCAGCAAATGTAGCCTCAATCCACGCTGCAGAGTGCATACCTCTTGCGGCAACGATGTTGGCCGTGCGCACCGCCTGGGGCTTCTCCTTGTCCTGCAACACGGTTAGCTGCCACCTGCGGCTGCTAGGAAATTATTTTATTGACCTTGAAGGCGGCATTGCCGGAGCCACCGCTGGAAACTGCAGCACTGGCCATTTTGACGCGTGATGGGAAGGTGGTTGGAGGTGTTGGCAGGGAGTAACGCGGAGGGGTGCAGCAGTGACACTCTCCGAAAACTGCGGGACGCGATGCGGGCGGTCGAATTTCGCGGAAGGCTGCCTCAGGCACGCCGGAAGAAGCCGCCGGCCATTACATACGCACCTACCCTTGGACCTTCCGCCAGCGGCGCGAGCTCCAGTTGCATCAACACCTCACCCATCGACCGCGCTCCGTCCTCACCCACCATCGCACCCGCCCCGTTGCCAGCACGCTCTCCGTACCCGCTCCATACCCGACCGATCCTTGCTGATACCCGTTCCGACGTGCGACACGTCGCCCGACCTCCAACATGCCCAGTGCCACCGGCCAGAACTGGGAGAAGTTCCAGAGGAGCTACGCCGACGATGAGGTGGAAGAGAAGAAGATCACGCCCCTGTCCGATGAGTACGGCAGCTCCAGCAGCTCTGGAAACGCAGCACGGCCGCTGACTCCGATGCAGGGACATCCAAGTGCTCAAAACCTATGGTGCCGCGCCTTACGCTGCGGAGCTGAAGAAGCTTGAGAAGGAGATCAAGGACAAGCAGCAAAGCGTGAACGAGAAGATTGGCGTGAAGGTAGCATGCTCCGCCCGCGTTAACCGTCGTTGCCATCTCACGCTGTCGCTAGGAATCTGACACCGGTCTTGCGCCGCCGCACCTCTGGGACATCGCAGCCGACAGACAACGCATGCAGGAGGAGCAACCGCTGCAGGTCGCAAGATGTACGAAGATCATCCAGGACGAGAAGGACTCAGAGAAGAGCAAGTACGTGATCAACGTGAAGCAGATTGCCAAGTTCGTCGTCAACTTGGGCGAGCGCGTCAGTCCTACGGATATCGAGGAGGGCATGCGTGTTGGGTAAGTCCACTCCCTCGGTCTCTTGTCGTGAAGGATAGCAATGATGTCCTAACAACGTTACGCTCGTCGACAGCGTCGACCGCAACAAGTACCAGATTCTCCTGCCGTTGCCTCCCAAGATCGATCCGTCCGTTACCATGATGACTGTCGAGGACAAGCCCGACGTGACATACGGCGATGTTGGCGGCTGCAAGGAACAGATTGAGAAGCTGCGCGAGGTCGTTGAGATGCCGCTCTTGTCGCCGGAGCGTTTCGTCAATCTTGGAATCGATCCCCCGAAGGGTGCCTTGCTCTATGGCCCCCCTGGTACCGGCAAGACGCTCTGCGCTCGTGCTGTCGCCAACAGGACAGATGCCACCTTCATCCGTGTCATTGGTTCGGAGCTGGTGCAGAAGTACGTTGGTGAGGGTGCTCGTATGGTGCGCGAGTTGTTTGAGATGGCGCGGACGAAGAAAGCCTGCATCATCTTCTTCGACGAAGTTGATGCTATCGGAGGAGCACGTTTCGATGACGGTGCGGGCGGTGACAACGAAGTGCAGCGTACCATGCTGGAACTGATCACTCAGCTGGACGGCTTCGATTCGCGTGGTAACATCAAGGTCATGTTCGCTACCAACAGGCCATCAACGCTCGACCCTGCTCTCATGCGTCCTGGGCGTATCGACCGTAAGATCGAGTTCTCGCTGCCTGACATGGAGGGACGCGCCAACATTCTCCGGATTCACGCCAAGAGCATGTCGGTTGAGCGCGACATCAGATGGGAGCTCATTTCGCGTCTGTGTCCCAACTCTACTGGTGCTGAGCTGCGCAGCGTTGCTACCGAAGCGGGCATGTTTGCTATCCGCGCCAGGAGAAAGGTTGCTACCGAGAAGGACTTCCTGGCTGCCGTAGACAAGGTCATCAAGGGCAACCTCAAGTTCAACTCGACGGCTACCTACATGCAGTACAACTAATCGGGGAGGCTACACGCCAGAGGGTTCGTTGTGGTGGCTTCTCTGCATTACGGCTCTTGATTGGGTTTACGCGTTCAGGAACGGAGGACTTTGGCACGGCATGGCGATTGAAGGGCGTGTGTATGTACAATACTAGAGGATCCTCGGAAGTAGAAGGTCAGGCATCACACACGATCAGTAATGACGTACTCAAGGTTCCAGTGTAAGGGGTGTGCTGCCGTGTCTGGTGTACTCGGCCGGGAAAGGCGTTGAAAACTACGTTTTATGGCTTGCTCGCGCCCTCTTGTGTTACCCGAGCATTGCAGCTAACCATGGATCCCCACGAGCACAGTCGGGCTCGCGATCACGGCCGGAGGTGAGAGGTGAGAGGTGAGCGGTCTTCCCGACCGGACCCGAAGGCGGCTAGATCGGCCTCGGGCGCTTTGCCGAAGGCTCCCGGCAGGGCGCGCGTGTGCGCCGGATCCCGCCATGCTTGTTAGGCGCTGCTTGGTATTCCTTCCTTTCGTCCTGGAGTAACTTGTCAACGAACGTCCTGTTTCTTCTACACTCGTTGACCACACTCTCCCAATCGCCACAGCCCGCACGTACGGATCTAATCCTATCAGAGAGCATTTTCGAAGCTCGGTTGCATCTGAGCGGGACAAAAGTCTCACAAACGGCAAGGTAGTCCGGCGACGGCCCTTCTTGAACCCTCCTCGCTTTCCACGCTGTGCTCGTGATATTCAAGGTATGCATCTCGGTTTCATGTGAAACCCATGTCCACACCGAGTCTGTTCTCGACTCAGATCCCTTGTTCGCCGGCCTGCATCAGCCGACTCAGACACCCCCGTCATTCCCCGCATGAGGCTTGACCCTTGGGCTCATCTCAAAACTTCTATAGGAACCTCATCCCTCCCCCGTCTCTCTGTACGACATGGACCACCAGCAGAAGCCCGAGGAGCACAAGGATGCTGCGCCTCCTCGCGACAACGGCAAAGAGCCGTCAATGTCATCCAGAATCGCTGCCTCGGCTTCGGGCCTCGCCAGGAACGCGTTCGGTAGTGGCAGCGCCGACGAGGCCCGGTCTGCCTTTGCCTCAGGATCCGGGCTCTCCAGGAAGCTTCAGAGCGGCACGGAAGCCGCAGGCCCTTCGACCTGGGCGCAAACGCTACCGTCCAGACAGAACGGGTCGTCATCACGTGCCATCAACGGAAGCGGTGAACAGTTTAGGTCTCAGGAGGGCTTCCGGTCCACTTCGACCGAGTTCTCTTTGGATGACCATTTTGATATGGACTCCTATCGTGCCCTGGATGGTCTTGGTGAGTTCGCCGGTTATGGCTCGAAATCGAGTCATCAAAGCGCCTCCAACGGACACAATGGACCCGACGACGGCGCTGAAGTCAGGCGTTTGCTCTCCGACCCTAGCTTCTCCACAGAAGAATTCGTGGACATGCAGATGGCAGATCCCACGCCAGAGACGGTCAATGACCTCTTCGGACAGAATTTTTCTCCGGAGGAAAAGGAAATAGCTGATAAGATGAAGTCGTCCCTTCCGCCGCCACCGCAGCACAATGGCGTTTCACCGCAGAATCCTCTGAACCTCCGGCCCGAGTTTGCAAATCCGCAGCTGGAGGAAGAAATCAGAGACCTGTCCCGGACGCTAGAATCCGGGGAAGAGGGCGTCATGGCGTTCAGCAATGCGCAGCGGCACCACTGGCTGGCTGAGTGGGACGACGTGCTCAACGGTTACACGGATGAAGTGTGGGGAGAGATGCTGCCAGTGGTCAAGGCGGCCCGAAGCCAGCTTGAAGAAGCCAAGACAGGGATGGACCGTCTGGATAGTAAGGCGGTGGCGAGGTTGAGGATGATCCTGGGCCACGTGGTCGATGCGAGTAACACAACCTCATCCGCGGCCCAGTTCAACGGGCAGGACTACGGGCAGGACCACGGGCAGGACTACGCGGTGCAGGAGGTGCAGAGGAAGGGGGAGCAGCAGCCGGCCGGTGGCAGCGAGTGGGCGGTTCCAGCGTTCCACTGCCCCTACGTCAGCTGCCACGAGGTAAGCCCGCCGCTCTTTGTGCCGGGCCAAGCGTGCTGACGGCCATGCAGCAATTCGGCAACGAGTCTGAGCTTCGCACACACTCGCAGCAGCACTCGGGCGCGGCGTGCGCGCACTTTGACTGCGGCGCGTGGTTCGAAGACTCCAAGGAATGGGCCGACCACGTCAAGCGCGCGCACCACGGGCTCCTGGAGGCACGGCCTGGAGACGAGGATTTGGGCGTGTAGAATAGCACATGGATGGGCCTTCTCCTGAGGTCTCCCCACGCAGCCGGTGGGTCGCTGGCCACCATCCCCACAATACGTAGAGCGGCGGCCCCGGCACCTGATGACTGTAGACTCTCAGCCGCCAGCGTGCCAGGAACTGGCAGAAGCAGCCGCGCACGAGTCATGGCGCAGCATATAACGCAGACTGCGCCGCCACCGGGCATTGTTGTGGCCTCCAGCTGTGCGACCCCTCTCGCTGCTCCTCTCGCTGCTCCTCTCGCTCGCTGTTCTCTCCACGTCACGCCCGGCGCTGCCAAGACGCGGCGGAGGGTCTAAGCTCGCGTCGATCCGCGCGATAACTCTATCGGAGGGGGCCGCCTCCCACCTGGACAAGAAAAATGTCGACCGGTATGCTGCTGCCCGCCACCATGTCCCACCCCGCTGGCTAACGCGCCATGGTCGCCCTCGCAGCTGCCCACGCCCTGTCGCCCGACGACTCGCCCGACCTGCACGTCGCCGACCTCTCCTCCGAGGAGGACCAGCTCGCCCTCGAGCAGCTGTCCGACGACCGCGACGCGTCCGAGAACCCCAGCGATGAGGCACAGGACGCCCAAAAAAGCAAGCCGACGGGGCCTGGGGGCGGGGATGCGGGCCCCAGCATGGATGCCGCCGGCACTGCTGCTAATGCATCCGACGGCGCACAAACTGGTCTGCTGCCCAGGGATAAACAGCGCAGGACGGCCTTCTACGACCGCGCCTCCGAGAAGCAGATGAGCCACTCCGAGGCCAAGCAGTTTTTCCAGCGCCACCAGCTCGAGACCCAGGTCGGCAGCAGCAATTGGTCCCAGGACGGCGACAGCGACATGATTCCGAGAGCCCAGCGGTCGCCCCGCGCCACCGTCCACGCCCAGGGACACACCAGTTATCGCTCCACCCTGCCCGTCGAGGTCGAGTCCCCCAACCCGGACAAGCTCCCCAGCCTCGCCGGTGCGTTCGGTGCCCCCAGCTACTACGCCCACGCCAAGCCAGACGATCCGTTTCTCGAGGCCGATCGCACCGCTCGTTCCCACAGTCACCACCCTACTCTTCCCCATGAATCCAAGCCGCTGTTGGAGCAGCACGGCATACACGGCGCCGGCGCCGGCGTTGGCGTGGGTTACGGCAACGGCGGCTTCGCTGCCAACGATTCCAGTGTCGCCGAGGAGTTGCGCAACATCTACACGCAGATTCAGAAAGTCCTCGACATCCGCCACAAGTACATGCGTCTCTCCCTGCAAGGCGACTTCGACAACCCCAAAGACGACCCTAGCTGGGAAATCTACCCTCCTCTGCCGGATCCTGCCTGGGACCACAACCGCTACGCGGGTACTGCTACCAATGGCCTCAACAGCATGAGCAACAGCCAGATGCTTGATCCTGATGCGAAGCCGCGAGCAGCCCCGAAGCCGCCGAGGAAGCCAGGTCATGACATCGGTGAGGACTTCGACATTGATGATTTGCTGCCTCTCCCCGGCCCCTCGGAGATGAACTTCAAGCTCGACGACAGCAGTGTATTCCAGGTCTACGAGACCGAGGCTTCCGCCGAGCTTAACAAGCCCATGGTGAACATTCCGGATATCAGGGAGTTCTACATGGATCTAGACGAGATTATCAGCGTGTCCACCGACGGGCCCATCAAAAGTTTTGCTTTCAGGCGTCTGCAGTATCTCGAGGGAAAGTTCAATCTCTACTACTTGCTGAACGAGTATCAGGAGATAGCGGACAGCAAGAAGGTGCCTCACAGAGACTTCTACAACGTCCGTAAGGTCGACACTCACGTTCATCACTCTGCCTGCATGAACCAGAAACATCTGCTTCGGTTCATTAAGAGTAAGATGAAGAAGTCTCCCGACGAGGTCGTACTGTACAGAGACGGCAAGCATCTGACCCTAAGAGAGGTCTTTGAGAGTATCAACTTGACTGCGTATGACCTCAGTATTGACACTCTTGATATGCATGTGAGTTTGGGGTCAAGCCACACATGTTTTGTTCTCTGCTGATGTCTGCAGGCCCACACGGACAGTTTCCACCGATTCGACAAGTTCAATCTGAAGTACAACCCTATCGGGGAATCCAGGCTGAGGACCATCTTCTTGAAGACTGACAATTACATCCACGGACGCTACCTGGCAGAGATTACAAAGGAGGTTATGGCGGATCTAGAGTCCAGCAAGTACCAAATGGTGGAATGGAGAATCTCCATCTACGGCCGCGATCTTGAGGAGTGGGACAAATTAGCCGCATGGGTGGTCGACAACAAGCTCTTCTCTCTCAACGTGCGCTGGCTCATCCAGGTCCCTCGTCTTTACGACGTCTACAAGAGCTCGAACTTGATGGACAACTTTGAGCAGATTGTTCGCAACATTTTCCAGCCCTTGTTCGAGGTTACCAAAGACCCTAACAGTCACCCAAAGCTGCACATCTTCTTGCAGAGGGTCATTGGCTTTGACAGTGTTGATGATGAGAGCAAGCCCGAACGTCGGCTTTACAGGAAGTTCCCCAAGCCAAAGTGGTGGGATACCAAGCAAAACCCTCCCTACAGCTACTGGATCTACTATCTCTTCGCCAACATCGCCTCACTCAACGTTTGGCGCAAGCAACGAGGCTTCAATACATTCTTGCTCAGGCCGCACTGTGGTGAAGCCGGCGACACGGACCACTTGGCGGCAACGGTCCTTTGCTGCCATAGCATCAGCCACGGCTTGATGCTCAGGAAGGTTCCTCTTCTTCAATATATCTTTTATCTGGACCAAATCGGCATTGCCATGTCTCCGCTGAGCAACAACGCGCTTTTTCTGGCGTACGAGCGGAACCCGTTCCTCTCCTACTTCAAGCGCGGCCTGAACGTGTCTCTGTCTACGGATGACCCTCTTCAATTCGCTTTCACCAAAGAGCCCTTGATCGAGGAGTACTCGGTCGCGGCGCAGATCTACAAGCTGAGTGCGGTGGATATGTGCGAACTGGCCAAGCATTCGGTCGAGCAGAGTGGCTTCGAGCACGCCGTCAAGCAGAGATGGCTGGGTGCGAACTACCATTTGCCAGGTGTTGCAGGAAACGACATGAGCAAAGTCAATGTACCAAACATCAGAGAGGCGTTCCGCCACGAAACCCTGCAGGCTGAGCTCGCCATGTGAGTGGATGGACGAGTCTTTTTGCGAACAGCGACTAATATGATGGCAGGATCTCCCGATACACCAGCACTGGCACCAGCGAGCCGCTCTCGATGCGCAACGTAGCGGCGAAGACGCCGGCCGAGCAAGCAGCAAATGGGACGGGGCGGCAACCGGCTTCGCCCACGGCGAGAAAGACTCTGCAGGTTGACGTGCCTCTGGCTCAAGCTCCCACATCAGCGCCACAGGACCGTCTGACGAGTGTGAAGAATGCTCACCTCAAAATGTCAGCTTCTTCCAGCGACCTCGTGGGCCGCGATGATGGGTCCACAGCTGGAAGCAACCCGATGCACGTCAGCCGCAAAACCAACCGGTCCTCTTCGATGGTGGCGACAACGCCGTCGGTGATACCGATGCCGCAGCCTTTCCTCGGGCCGCCCCTTTCTCCACAGCAGAGCGTCACGTCGGCATCGGCGTCACATCTCGACCCTCACGAGCCTCGACTTTTCCCGGGAGTGGTGAGCAGACACCGCAAGAGCAGCAACACGCAGAGACCAGCCATGGAGGGAGGCGAGCTGGACAGCACGTGGGTGGGGGTTAAGAAGAGCGGATCACACCCGCTGACGGATGCGAGCGACGCGGCAGTCTTCGACGATCCGTTGGAAGAGGAGTCGGAGGGCGAGGGCGAGGACGAGGAATGAGGAGGATAGCCGACGGCATGCTCAGTAGAGAAATGGCGTATGATTCAACGCAGGATGCAGTCAGCGAAGGAGGAGAAAAGGCATTTCGGAACCGTGTCTTACTTGCTGGCTTTTCTGCATGGATACGATATGGATTCTCTCGGAGTTCAATCTCTGCTCGCAGCAACATCTTCTCGTGCTTGCTCCAAGTGCCGATGCTCAGCAAGTGTAGGCTCCACTGCGCCTTTTTTTTTCTTTCTCTGGCCCCCATGCTGTGTCACTTATCTAACAGATCCTCCACAATCCTTCGCCGGGGTTATGGCGGAAATAGGCGGGGTTAAAGCAGCGGGCGCGCGACGAGGAAGCGGCTGCTCCTCCGCACCTCTCCAACCACAGCAGCTGAGTCACACGAAACCCTTCGTAAGCATCCATTGCGCTCCCATCAATTGATCCGGACCAGGTATTTGCCCGCTGCTCAGAGCTGGGAGTCCTCACGCACACTGCTCTGCCCCGCACCCTTCCCCGCACCGTCCGGAGCTGATGCAACAGACAGCTCCAGCAACCATGCCGCTCACCTCGCAATTGTTCCCCTCCCCGGCCGCCCTGTGCAGCGCCTTCCCCTCCGCCCCGACCTCTGACGCTGCTGACACGGCCAATCGCACGTCATCGTCGTCCAGGTACCCGCCTGCGCGCCAGGAGCTGTACGGTGCCTGGAGCGCCGTCGACGACGCCAAGGACAAGGCGGCCAAGCTGAGCAACGCGGCGGTGCACGAGTTTGAAAAGGCGAGCGGCAAGGCGCAGGCGGCGGCCGGCAACAAGATCGAGCTGTACTCGGCCAAGTACTATGCCGCGTGCACCTTCGGCGGCATGCTGGCGTGCGGCCTCACCCACACGGCCGTCACCCCGCTCGACCTGGTCAAGTGCCGCCGTCAGGTCAACTCCAAGCTGTACAAGGGCAACTTCGAGGCCTGGGGCAAGATTGCGCGCGCCGAGGGCTTCCGCGGCATCTTTACCGGCTGGAGCCCGACGTTCTTTGGGTACTCGGTAAGTTGTGCCGTATCTCGCCCGGTTTGTGCGAGCGTTGAGGGTTGATTGAGATAGGCCCAAGGTGCATTCAAATACGGCGGATACGAGTACTTCAAGAAGTTCTACTCCGACCTGGCTGGTCCGGAGAACGCCCACAAGTACAAGACTGTGCTCTACCTGACCGCCAGTGCCTCCGCCGAGTTCATTGCCGACATCGCCCTCTGCCCCTTTGAGGCCGTCAAGGTCCGCATCCAAACCACCATCCCGCCCTTCGCCAAGGGCACTTTTGATGGCATTTCCAAAGTCACGGCGAAGGAAGGAACCTCAGGGTCAGTACCACTTATTTTACTTGCCACACCTCAGTTCCCGTGGCTTACAGCTAACGCTTTGTAATTCAGCCTCTTCAAGGGTCTTTACCCTCTCTGGGGTCGCCAGATTCCGTACACGATGATGAAGTTTGCTTCCTTCGAGACCATCGTCGAGGCCATCTACAACTACCTGCCTGGCGGGAAGGACGACTACGGCAAGGCGGCGCAGACGGCCGTCTCGTTTTCCGGCGGCTACCTCGCAGGCATCCTGTGCGCCATCGTCTCGCACCCGGCCGATGTCATGGTGTCGAAGCTGAACGCCGAGCGCGCGCCCGGCGAGGCCTTTGGCGCCGCCATGAAGCGCATCTACGCCAAGATCGGCTTCGGCGGGCTGTGGAACGGTTTGCCCGTCAGGATCGTCATGATTGGCACCCTCACGGGTCTGCAGTGGATGATTTACGGTGAGTATTCCAGTTTGTTTTTCGAGGCAAACCGCCGTAGGTGCAACAAGGGGCGTGTGTGCTCTCTGCTAACATGTGTGTTTCCTGTGCAGACTACTTCAAGATCTACATGGGCTTCCCGACTACGGGTGGCCCGTCGCCGCAACAGGAGAAGCAGAAGGCGTAGATTCTTCAAACTGAACGTCATCTCTCTCCCTCTCCCTCTGGGAGATCACTTACAGGCAACGAGAGCTTCAGTTACTCATTCCCTCGCTTTAGTTGAAGGACTTCCTGAGGGTGACGGCCGTCGTCGTTCCTTGCTGGCAAGAGAGGCAGAGTCGATTTCCTTTGTTTCTGATTTTCTACTAATGGGTGTGGGTAGGGTGCATATCTACCTTTTTCGCTGTATTTTATTCCTGTTGCTTGATGGGTACGGTAAACACTTCACTCTTGACTTTTCCCAACGTAACCAGATTGAAGCCATGTTCTGAACGTGAAGAGTCATGTTGTTTCTGTCTTCGGGATTTCTTTTTATTCGCGCTTCCAATCAGAGGACAAAACCCAGTACATCCGATTGGAAAGGCTACCTACAACGCCTGCCTACTTACTTACCCATCTAACCCCCCCTCATGCCACCACCTCCCCCTCCTCCTTCTGCCTGGCGGCCCGCACCATGGCCGCAACCGTCGTCTCAAACGCCTCGGGCTCCCGACCGAGCAACTCGCGCAGATGGCCCGTGACGGCGGCGCCCTCGCCCTCCCGCAGCGCGTCCCACGACGTCGCCCACGACGTCGCCCACGCCCGGTCCATGCCGTCGGCCACCGTCAGGTACGGCGACACGCCCCTGACGCAGTCCTGCGCCGCCCATTCGTCGACGGAGACCTCTCGGACCTCGATGTCGCCGCCGGACCGCCCCGCCACCCTCCCGATGATGGCGGCGCTCTCGCCGAGCGAGATCTCGCGCGGCCCGGAGAGGAGGAGCGTCGCGTTGCGGTACCGCTGCCGCTGCCGCTCGGCCGGCTCATCGTGTTCAGGGGAGGAGGAAGAGGGAGACGTGTACCGGGCTATCAGCCGCGCCGTCGCCTCGCCCAGCTCGTCGCGCTTCACCCACGCGATGCCCGGCCCCGTGCCCGGGTGCGGGATGCGCACCTCGGCGGGGAGCTGCGCCGGCGGCCGCGCCACGTCGAGGAAGGCGAGGTACAGCGGGAAGGACTCGGTGTAGAGGCCCTGGCGCACTATGGTGTAGGTGAACTTGCCGTCGCTTTCGGCAGCCAGCGACGCGAGGTAGCGCTCCGTGTCGAGATGGGCCTTCATGACGTGCGCGACGGTGTGGTCCGGCCGGTCGCGCGCCCCCGCGAAGCCCAGCGACGAGTAAAAGACGTGCGTCACGCCCGCGCGCACCGCCGCGTCGATGGCCGCCTTGTGCAGGCCGAACCGGCGCCGGTGCGAGACGCTGGCGTGCGACACCAGGCTGAGGACCCGCGCGCCCGCGAACGCGCCCTCGAGCGCCTCCGCCCGCTCGTAGTCGCCGCGCCGCACCGCGGCGCCCCCCGCCGCGTATTTGGGGTCGATCTTCTCCGGGTGCCGCGACACGAGGATGAGCCGCCGCGCGTCGATGAGGTCGGCGAGGTGTCGGTACGTGCCCCCGCTGATGCCGCCAGAGGCGGGGAAGATGGCGATTTTGTCGTCGTGGGACATTTTGGCGTGATATGGGGGTGGTGGTGGTTGGTGGCTGGTGGGACTGTGGTTGTGATGGATGGATGGATGGGTTGTTGTGATGATGATGATAGTGATGATGATGTTGATGAGAAGAAAAGGGTCGGTCAAAGACCTTGCGAATGAAACTCTTTATACTACCTACTACCTCGTCGTGATCGATGAAGTTTTTTGTCCGATTTGTAATGCAGACCGTGGACCGGTCTCTGAGCGGGCGGGGTCGTCGTCGTGGGACGTCCCATCATTACCTTGGCGACGTATGCTCGCGTGAGCGCACGACAACCGTCGAGGTTGACTGTGGAGGAGTAATCCAATCACGGTGGTATATATGGTTCGTTTTGTCAGCAAGGTGGGGGCTTACTCCCACTCGATGCGCCGGTATGGCCTACCTTTCCAGCATACAGGTAAGCACAAGTGGACACGGAACGCGGTTGACGTCTGGATTTGCTCGCCGTTGCTCGCGGTTCAGTCGGCAGCCGGTGCATGGTTTCTTTTGCGGTATCTCACCCGCGAATATCTATTACCGTTTGTGGTAATATATCCGCTGTCAAAATCCGGCAACAAAATGCCATATCAGTGTTTCTGGCGGGACTGCTCTGCGCCGTCATCACAGTGAATCCCCGCTTCGGTATGTTGACAGCCGGTTCTTGTCGGCTAGTCTGACGTAGTCTCGCCACCGGCGCCATCTGGCGCCATCACAAGGTCCCGTTGTGGTGTGGAGCAACTCATAAAGAACTGTCAAGTCTAGTTCATGCATGTACATACAAAGCACCCATACCCGGCTACTCTCTTTACATACTACTCAAATGGCCCAATCTCACACCAACGCATTCCAATCATCAACCTTGAGTAAATGATATGAACGCTTCAGTCTCTCAGCCTAAATCAGATCTATGGAAAAAGTCACACTCCGCCTGACCCGCTGTGCACGCAATCGCAACCAAGAAGGACTTTGTTGCATAACCTTATTCGAGACATGGTACAAGAGAAAGGAATATAGGGGGGTTGGCGCTCACTCACACACACACACAAATTCCCTCCTCCATCCTTGCGAATTTCCCCTCGTCCCAAAGGTCGATTTGTTCCCCCTTTCCCATCACTCCACGAAACATCTATTGTCGCTAGTACAGACAGACACGAGAGGAAGAAAAAATAGGTAGGAAAACCAGCCATCACACTTCCTCGTCGCTGTCTTCACCCAGCAGCTCTCCCTCGTCCGGATCCACCACTGCGTAGTTACCCCGTGCGAACGAGCCACGAGTCGTGAACGTCTGGCCAGAGTATCCACCGCCGCCGCCGAGTCGGCTCGACGCGCTGCGCCACAGGGAGCCCGCCAGGAGAGGGATGGCCGACAGCACGGCGACGACACCAGAAACCGCGGCGACCGGATATGTAACCCAGCGGCTGTCGCTGTCGAACGTGGGGTGGCTGTCGCCCAGGCGGATCTGGCCGAATTTGCCGTCCCAGTTGCGCCACACGTACCAGCCGATGGCGCCCGCCGCTGCAAATGGCACGATGACGGCGAAGAAGATGGCCATGACCGAAGTGCCGTGTTTCTTGTTGTACTCCTCTTCCTTGTTTGGGCATGGCCGGGTGCCAGCGGTAAGATCGAGCTCCTTACCGCCCTCACATGTCGTCAGGGGGATTCGGCGGTAGCCTGTAACGTAGTTGTACTCAATGACGTTGGGGTTCTTGCAGACAGCATCGTTTTCGACCGGATCAAGGCCCTGGACAAGTATGCATCTGCCGTCATTTTCATCACGCTCAAAGTTGTAGTCACTGTAACATTCACGTTAGCTTTGCTTCCAAGGCAAGAGGGTCAAAACGACTTACCATTCGAAGTCGGTCCTGGTGCAAGTGCAGTTTTTCTTGATGTTGTGCAGTTGCTGAATATCGTGTCCATTCCAGCATTCGGCGCCAATCTTCTTGCGGTGATATTGGGCAATGTGGCCGAATAGGCAGTTCTCTTGCTGCATTGGATGCTTTGGTTCCCACAGGTCATAATCGCCAGCCTCAGGGTTGCTTTCATCGAGATCGCATGTGCGGTCAAACAGTCCGGAAAAGTCCAAGTTGATTGTGACGAGACCGTCCGAGCGACCCCAGAGGAGGAAGCTCTTCGATGTGTCGCTGGGAACGGTCGAAATCGAGTCGACGATGATTGGCTTGTCAGGACTGAACTTGTACTGTTCCCACTTGATGCCCTCGTCAAGAGAGTAGTAGACCGTGTCAACAGGTTCTGACTCCTTGACAATGACAATGATGGAACCCTGGTCGCCGTATTCCCACATGAAGGTTCCCTTCATGGCCTCATGCCAGGTGATACCGCCATCTCTCGTGACGAACGTGTTCCCGTCTTTGTAGCGACCCAGATATTCTCCAACGTTACCAACGCCCATCATAAGCCCGACGGCAGACGGGGAGGAGAAAGTGTCCCGAGGATCCTTGCGCTCGGTGTAACCATGAATGTGCAGGGAACACTTGTCGAGGCCACCAGAACAAGGATACTTGGCGCCGTCTGAATCCTTCTCAGGAGGGGGGATCAGAGCCCATTCCGCTCCATCGTTATGGGTGATCATAGACTTCAGCTTCTTTGAGGCGCCTTGGTCGACTTCATCGGCGTTGGCGACGATGTTGATCAATGCCGCACCTTCTAGGCCCTGCATCTTCTCGAAATCGACATAGCCAGCCTCGTTGCGATTGACCTTGGCGATGCTGAGGACATATTCCGTCCCGTTGCTGTTGCTCTTGAGGATGGAGCCATACTCCTGATCTCTTTCGTTGTTCATGGTGACGTGCAGGAAAACCGCGTGTGTAGAACTGTCCAGAACTGTGTAAGCCTGGCGATGTTCCAGGTTGAACTTGTGCGGGAACTTGGCATCGGCGAAGGTCTTGCCATCAATGCTGACGTCCACCTTGAGCCATTTGTGATCATCCGTCTTCTTTGCGACAATGATGAACTCTGCCATGGTGGCGAAGTTGGCAACGTCCTCGTAGTGCACCTTCTTGGTCTCGAACCAGTCGGTGCTAGACAGAAGCTGGAGAGGCTTGGAGGTATCTTCACTAGCAAACTGCTCGCAGTAGACGAGCTGCTCACTGTCTTCGCGCTCTTCCCTCCAAACGAACTGGCACTTTTGGACGAAGCGGAGAAGCGGCTCCCAGCTTCCTTCAATTCCGCCCTTAGTCGACTTGTAAGCTACGGAATGGCAATCGCTGCTGGAACTTTCGCAGTCTTGTCGACCGGTCCAAAGGATCCAGTCCTTCTCGTGTGGGTGGAAGCCGAGAGTTGATATCCTCTCTCTGGTCGGTGGATCCGGAGCGTCGAAGGAGTGGATGCTGTTGGGCAGGCCGCGGTCCTTGGAGTAGTAGACCTTTTTACCCCCGGTCAAGAAGTAGACGATGTCGTTGAAGTACTGGTGAGGGTAAATGGTGATGACTTCATCATCCACGGCCTGTTTCCAAGTCTTGCCGTGGTCGTGTGTTATCCAAGCGGTGCGGTCATCATCAAGCATGACAATAGTCTCGTCGGTATCTTCACGGTTCGTGGACTCGGTTCTTTCCAGGTAGTAGTACTCCCGGAAGTCGCGAGCATTCTTGAAACGGTTGAAAGTATGCTCAACCTTTCCGCTCGCTGGTGACTTCTGAGAATCCTTGCAGTCGCGCTCCTTGGGTTTGTCAAGGACGACACCTCCATCCTTCTCACACTTGTTGCCAGGAATCAGGCGCCAACCCGAACTGCCCTCGAAATGCTTATCCCCTTCTTTGCACTGTCCGCTGGGCACAGGGATTGGGCCGGCCGGAACACATTCCCCGTCCTTGCGGATGAAGTTGAAATCGCATTCGTAATCCTCCTTAGTACACTTGCACGTCTCCCACTTTGGCTCAGGATCGACAAATTCGTCCAGGATGAAGCAATCTGCGTCCGGCTTGCGTCTGCGGAATGATTGCTTGCGGCCCATGATGCAGCCGGGCTTGCCATCTTCAGTCTTACGGGCGTGCCAAATCTCGAAATCGTCATCCTTGCACTTGCGCTCGTGAAGTCCAGCGAAATCAAGGGTATAGATGGACCACTCTTCCTCGCCTTTGCTCGCTATCAGGACGAACTTGATGCCAGTAGAATCAGGAATAGTGGTGAGCTCGTATGCAGTGACCTTGTCTGGGAGTTTGGTCGATTTCCAATCCTTGCCATGGTTCAGAGAATATTGAACCGTGTCGGTTGGTTCTCCATCCTTTATGGCAACGAGTAAAGAGCCCTTGTCTCCAAATTCGTACTTGTAGGGCCCTTCAAGAGCTCTGTGCCAGGTCATGCCAGCGTCGTCCGAAGTCCAGAGGTCGCCTTCCTTGTAGGGCCTGAGGACGTCGCCAGTATTTCCAATCGCCATCACCAGGCCTGGCGCCGGACTGGAAAAGACTTTGCCACTGTTGTGCTGCTCCGTGTAGGAATGCACTTGAAGGATGTGGTCCTTCTCCGTGTGCAAGTCGTGGAATGTCCGCCCGTCATCGAAGCTGATCTTGGAGTGGAGCTTCTTGGACTCAAACAGTGGATTCTTCTCAACCGCCTCCCAGTTCTTCACGGTGTTGACGAGAATGATGCCTTGGATGTTGGTGAGCTTCTCAAAGTCAACGTAACCCGAGCCATCGCGGTTGGTGTGGGCGATGTTCCGGGTAAAGTAGGTTCCGTTGGAGTTGCTAGTGAACATGTTGCCCATGTCGGTCCACGAGGACGACATGACGTCTACTTGAATGCTGTAGTTGGTGGACTCCAGAATGGTGTAGGCATCCTCTTGGAGCTTGTGGTCTTGGCCGAACTCGGCTCTGTGCCAGGTACGGGTGTCGTCGGTCACGTAGAGAGCCATCTCATCGGTGCCCTCGGCCTTCGCGGCGGCGACAATGTAGCCCTTGGCCGAGGCCAAGTGGGCAATGCCGGCGACAGTGCGACCCTCGGACAAGGGTGGCTCGACCACCGTCTCCCCAAAATCGTCGGTGATGATAAGGCGGTAGTCCTTGCGCTGCTTCGAGAACTTGCCCTCGGTGACGCAAAGGATGCGGTTCTGGTCGTACTTGTCGACGGTGGTGGTGAAGACGTCGGTGTTGCGTGCCCACATGCAAATCTTGCGCGAATCGATGAGCGGCTGGAAATGCTCGAAGCCATTCGTGGTGTACCAGGTCTAGACAGGCGTTAGCTCAGGGCGCAAAGCGGCGGGGGCGGAGGCGCACCTTTCCGACGCAGCCTCCAAAAAGATCGCAGCGCTCAGCGCCGTGGAAGAGGACGCGTTCAGGGTCGTCGGTGTGCCAGCTGATGGGGGATTGGCCGGCGGCGGCATCGGTCTCGAAGGTGCGCCATGTCTCGCCCTGGTCCTTGGTGTACCAGTGCTTCTTCTCCTTGCCTAATGCCACGGCAACCTTGTTGTTGTAGGGATGGTGGAGGATGCCGACGACCTGGCGCTCGCCGAGCGGGCGGTCGAGATACTCCCAGTCCAGGCCGGCGTTGGTGGTGCGCCACACCTTGCTGTTGCCATACTCGATGGTCAGGGCGGTCTCGGTGTCGTCGAAGAAGAAGAGGCCAGTTGGCGGCGTCTCGAACTTGTGCTTCTTGATGGTTGGCTCGTCGGCCTTGGCTTGGGCGCCGATAGCCAGCAGGGCGCTGAGCCACACGGCGTTCTTCAGTATCATGATGGCATGGGGATGTGAGGGCGTAGTGGGCGGAGGGCGGAGGACGGATCGACAGGTGTTGTCTGGAAGAAGGATGCGCCTGGAGCTGTGAGCTTGCTGCCACCGGCTGCCTAGCGCGGCTTCGAGGTCAGCCTCAGGCCGGTTACGTATCGCGCGCTCGGGCCACGCGTGCGACGGCTCCGGTTGCAGGTCCACCAGCCTCGTCACGTCGTCCTTGTCCGCGCAATCCCACCCGCTTCCTGCCCGCTGCTCTCCGGCCTTCGCGCTGCAAACCAACCGCCTGCCCAATGCTGCCTCCACCCGCGGCGCCGCCTGTCCAACGGCACCAGCGACGCGTCGGCAAGCCAGCAAGCCGGCATGCAGGGGTCCAGTGACAGCGCTCGGCGGGGACCGCCACCCATAACCCGGCTGCCGCGGGCGTGTCGTAGGGCGCGTTCGCCGGCCCCGACAACTCCATTACTGTCGTCTCAGTCCCGCTTCGCATTGTGCACACCTTTTCCCTTCGACCGCCTCGCCTCTTGAAGCCCCACCTGTTCTGGCGCGTCCGCCGTGCTTTCAGCGCAGCCAGCGAGCATCCTTTCCACCCGCCATCGCACTGCATCGCATCCCGATTAAAAGAATTTTTTCTGCTCTGCATTTTGCCATAACTCACGCTGTTGGGCGCAGACATTGGCCGCTTAGCGCCACGGCAGTCGTTGCAGCAGAGCATTGAAACAGTCAGTAACCGCGGGCGAGCAGTCCCAGCATTGATGATCCGCACAGCTGAAACCACCCCTTCCCAGACAAGCCCATCTGTCCTAGTGCACTACTAGTGTTCGTGGTTGGCTCCAAGTTCCTTTGCAGATACCGCATTTGGGTACTTCTTTCCGATTATGGAGCAAGAGAGCCGTCATGACCACTGGCTTGGCCGCTATGCCAATGACTATCATGCATGGCGTCGAGCTCAACACCGCGGCAGAGACGTCTTCCAGCGGCCTCTCGGACTTATCGAGACGTCTTTTGACAACGATGGAGCCTTCTTCGGCGGCAGGGCCGACGTCAGCACCGCTATGTCCTTCGAAATCCGAACCAGTCTGACCCCCGAGCAATTGCGCGAAAGAATCCTCCTCGCCTGGGCCAACCTCCGCCTTCACCATGTTCTCCTCATGTCCACTGTCGATCGCGACCCAGTGACCGACCGCAGGCACTTCAATCTCCATCTGCCCACAACTGATGCCGAAGTGGTGGAAAACGCCCTGGAATCCGTTACGTTCCTTGAAGACTACTACAGCACAGTAAATATGGACGATTGGTTCAAACACATCAATAACACGGCTCGAGTCGTGGACTCAGACAAGACCTTGTCGCGGCTCTTCGTCCATCCAATCGTCTCCATCTCGAAGCACACCTTCCAGCTAACCTTCACGCTGATATGCGCCCATGAGATATGCGATGGCGTCGCTGTGCTTTACAACTGGGAGCCGCATTTCCTCGAGCTTCTGAACACGCCAGAACAAGACCTCCGCAGAGGACTCGAGGCCGAACGGTCTCCGGATCGGCTCCGGGGCCGTCTCCCAAGAGCACAGGAGGATCTCTATCCCTTGGTCCAGGGAAGCCCGGCACGCAAAAGGTGGTTCTGGGCGGTTATGCGAATCCTCCGACACGTCCGTAGACCACCGCCAGCAGGTTTCGTCAATCCACTGAGGCGGAGCGACCGGCGAGAGCAGGCCATGTCATTGGCTCCAAAGTACCCTGAGGTCTTGGATTACTCGGAAGACCGCAAGCCGCCCATGAACAGCTTCAACGTCAAAGCAGAGCTCTCAAGGGAAGCCACGTCCCGTATCGAGCGGCTTTCGAAATCAGTTGGTGCCAGCGTTGGTGCCGCCTGCTTCGCTCTCGTGGCCATGGCCATGATGGAGATCGAGGAAGCAAGAGACCCGCACACGCTATTGTCGGAACGACTGCCCTACGTCGGCTCTTTCCCAATCAACCCCCGCCCGTTCTTTGGCTACACGGGCCCCGCGGATTCGGTCATGCTCACCTTTAGCGACGGCATATGGTTGCCGTTCCTACCGTCAGACCTGCCTGCGGAGGGAAGGTTCAGGCTCCTGGTGCGTCAGGCGCACAGGCAGTTGGGTCAGTACCAGAAGCGGATTCGGGGCGAGAAGATGAAGGGTAGCTTCGATCCCACCGATCCGGCCCGGATTATTGCGTCAAGCTACCTTCTGGCAGTCGAAAGGGCCGACGCAATGAGGCCAGAGCATCTGAAGACTGGGGTCAATCCTCAAGGGGCGTATCCAGCCAACTTCAAGTGGAGGCCGGCAACATGTGGAGTCAGTTCGATTGGATCCATAAAGAACTTCCTAGCTCGGGGCAAATATAGCCTTGGCGAAGACACGGTTCGCAAAAACGGGCTTGCCGCGGATCTCTACAGCTTTGACCGGACGGGTGTGCGTGCCCGAGACTTCGAGTTCCTGTGCGGGTGCTGGGGTTCAGATGAGGGCCTGAAATTCAGCGTATCGTATGACGGCAACGCCATAGATGAAGAAAGCGTCTTGGTGTGGAAGGCTCTGATGGAGGAGATGTTCGAGCCCAGCACAAAGCCTAGACTGTAGATTGGACATGCAGCGGCGCGTGTGACTGGCTGGCAATGGATTTTTGTTTTTGCTAACATTAGAAATTCTTCTTGCGGTCAGATTTGGAGCATTCTTCACGGATGCTGAAGCTCCATGGATGTGGAATGCATGCACGATTCATTCAGCGCGCTGGACAATGCCAGGCAGACGCAGTGGCAATATGCAATACGCCCGCCACGGTTACACCAGCCAGCGTCTCACGCACAGTCAGCGCGGTGTAAGCCTCCTCGCAAGGTATAGATCTAAATATGCAACCTTCCTCTCAGCCGCATCGTCGCCGCGGTTTACATGTGCAGATTCCAGATTCCAGGCAGACGGAGCAATGCAGGCCGAGAGGGGCTAGCTGAGCGGGAGATGAGCAGAAGCGACGGCGGCGACAAGGGCCCGCCTGCAAAGCAAAGGCCCAAGCGCTGGTGCATTTTTGGGCCCATCGCCCGCAGCCCCGGCCTCGACGAACACGGTCACAGGCGCTCACAGCCTGGGGGCAGCCTGGGGGCAGCCGTGAGGGGAGGAGTCATGCGCCAAAGCCACCACCGGCGGCCGAAAGAGGACAGATGGAGCCTGTGGAGGCGGGTGGCTAGGGCCCCACTAGGACACGGCCGCCGAAGATCACCGCTGCAAGCCAGTCCCTGCTGACGCCAGTAATCACAAGCTGCCTAGTTAGGGCTGATGCTGCGTCCGCCTGAGGCTGTGAATCGTGTGCAACGCAGAGACGAGCTCGTCGAGCACGCGCTGCGCACTATAAACCCCGGCCTGCGCGCGCGTGCTTGCCTTGCCTGTCTTGCACGCAGCAGCGGCGACACAGCCAGCTCAGGCCCAATACACGTCTTATCGTCTATCAAACTGCAACACCGAGAACACGAACCAGCCTCCTATTTCCGCCGCCTCCTCTCTCGTCCTTCCCTCGGCCCTCTGCCCCCCAAAACAACACAATGCTCTGGACCCGCGACGAGGGCCGCTGCCCTTCGCCGCCGCCAAAGACCAACGGCCTCGCCCCGAAGCTGAAGATGCTGCGCGCCGAGACGGTCAAGCTTCTGCCATCGCAAATCGGCAGCCCTCACGGCTCAGGCCCTGGCCCCCTGCCCTACACCTCAAACCCAACCGAGCTCATCTGGAGCGACCTCAAGCTGTTCTTCCGCGTCTCCTACCTGCTGCCCGCCATCTTCTTCCCCTGGGGCAAGCGCCCCGGCGACGAGATCTACCCGGACCTGGGCAACGGCATCCAGCTCAGCTGGCAAATCACCCTCATCGTCTACCAAGTTCTATTCATCCTCTCCCTGCCCTTCTGCCTCGTCCTGCCGCTGGCCTGGTTCCTCGTCTACGCCGCCGCCGCCATCGCCCTCTGCGTGCCCATATGGATGCTCGTCAACGGCAACAAGCACGAGGTCCACTCGCGCCGCGACATCGTCCCCGAGCACGAGCACCCAGACGAGTGCTGGATCTTCATCAACGGAGTCGCAGTCGGGTAAGTCATTGCCCCAGCCTTGCTTTTTTTCCAACCCACAACAACGTCACACGTTTGCTAACAAACTCTCCAGGAAGTACTGGCTGCAAGCGAACCTGGACAGGCTGGCCAGGATATTCGGGCGCCCCATGACAGGCATACACAACAAGACCAACGGCCTGATCTTCGACCTGGTGCAGTGCATGATCGAGCGCAACCTCAACTACTCGACCCAGGACATCCGCGACGCCTACCGGCTCGTCAAGGACGCCCTCATGGACCGCAACCGCAAGAAGGTCGTGCTCCTCCTGCACAGCCAGGGCGCCATCCAGGGCAGCCTGATGATCGACTGGCTGCTCGCCGAGCTGCCAGAGGACATCTTGCAGAAGCTCGAGGTCTACACCTTTGGCAACGCCGCCAATCACTTCAACAACCCTGCCAAGTCTTCGTCCCGCCACCGCCCCGACGGGGACGGCGAGGGCCGCAGGCGGAAGAAGGCCATCCGCTACATCGAGCACTATGTCAACGACGAGGACATGGTGGCCAGATGGGGCGTCCTGCATTTCATTCATGAACCCAACCGCTTCATGGGCCGTCTGTTCCAGCGCAAGGGCACAGGCCACCTGCTCAACCAGCACTACTTGAACTACATGTTCCCGCTGGGTTCGGATAACCGAGTGCTCGACAAGAACGACTTCATGGACAGCGAGGTTGATCTTGACCATGACGATTACGACGTTGACAGGGAGGGGCTGGAGGATAGCTTGTGCGATCTCCTGAGTGGCTCCGACTCAGACTCCGATTCAGGCGGTTCGGACAAAGCCTTTGTTAACGATTTCAATAGTCCCGTTCTTCCTGTCGTTTCGACCCATTCGTTGGCAAGTAGTTCGCGGCATATGCCAAAGCACCCGAAGGTCAAGGACTTCAGTCGTCTCTGGCAGTATCGGAATGGGCAATGCCCAAGAGAGTAGATGATGCATTATCGGCAACCGGAGTTCCGCCTGGCGTTTGGTATCCTCTGCTACAGCGCTGGACGTTGAAGGTTAGGGAAAGAAAGATGGCGCGCTTCTATGAATTCTGGGTTTTGCTCATCAGCACGGCGTTGATCAGTCGGGGTCACCTTTCAGTAGACGATCGGATTGTTAGATAGAAAATTTGAAATAGTCACGATGGATATCTCGCAGCTCGATGACTAGTATTGCACGAGGATCTATATAATAGGCGGAGAATTGTTAGATGACCATTCGAGGGATGGTTTCTTTTTCTAAGCCTTCTGGGCAACGATCCCTGCACGTCGTTAGCACAAATGCGGGCGGTTGCCTCGTTGTGCGACAACTCACTCTCAACGTCAGCGACGCTCTGGTCCAGGATCTGCTTGAGCGTCTTGGGGTTCTCGAGTTCCTTCTCGATCTTGGCAATGACGGCCTCGGTGAGCTCCTTCTGCTGCCTAGCCTTGACCTGGCCCTCGTAACGGACCCAGGAGTCCAGGGCGACCTTGGCCTCGTGAGCGAGGGCGGTCTTCTGCTCGAGCTCGTAGGCCTGGGCCTCGAGCTTGGCGGTTTCCTACAGCCACTGTCAGGCTTCTTCGGCCCAGCGGATATCCCAGAAAGAAGGCGCAACGCGCCAAACGGCGCGACTGCATTTGGGATCATACCTTCGAAACCTCGAAGAGCGCCTTGGTGGTATCGATGACGCCACTCAGGTCCTTGACGCTCTCAATGCGCTTCTGGACGGCCTGGGTGTGCTCCTGGCGCGCCGAGTTCAAGATGTTCTTGATCTTGTCGTTCTGGCCCTCGGCCCACTGTCTGTACATGGGGCCACCGTACTTGCCGACGGCGAAGAAGACGGTCAGGAGGGACAGCATGACGATGGACTCCTCGTTGATGACATAGAGCTCGTTGCTGATGGCGGCGGCGGACAGACCAGCGCCGGTGGAGAGGATGGCGGCCTTGGAGACGAGGCTGTTGCCGGGCAGCGAGTCGATGATGGACTGCGCCTTCTTCTTGGGCTCCTCGGTCGGCACATTGGACGCGGCGCGGGCCTGGGCGAAGACCGCGGGAACGGCGCGGACGGGGACGGTTGGGCGGAGGCGGGCGGCGCCTGTACGCGGTCAGTTGGTGCGCCAATCGCTCCGGTTGCGCTCGAGCTGGGCTGGGCCCTACCGACGGCGCTTCTTGCGAGACGCGAAGCCATTGTTGCGGATGAGAGCGGAGAGGTATTCGACGGCTTGACGTTGGTGAGGAGCTCGGAAGTTGAGTTGCAAAGACCTGAGGACGGGCTTGGCATCGGCGTCGGCAAGCGTCCGAGCGCCGCCCCAGGTGTGCCTTCCTAACTTTTTCGATGCGCAACCAACGCGACAGCCTGCGCCCACCCACACACCTTGTGCCCCTCGAAATGCCCATGATGGCTCCCGAAATAGTCGCCGGTCACAAGAGAAAGCGAATCGCCGAAAAAGGCGCCGCCGAGAAACGCTCCAAATCAAAATCTTCCTCCAAATCCGCAGCCACGGACGGCGACGACGAACAAGCTCGAATCCTGCTACTAGAGAGCCAAATCACCGAGTCGCGACGCCACTACAACAATGTTGTCGAGCTGATCAAGCTGGCGAAGGATGGCGGTGCGGAGGAGTCGGCAACGCTGGCCATCATCGCGCTTTGCCGCGTTTTCTGCCGGCTGCTGGTCGCTGGGAGCATGAAGAAAAGCAAGGGCCTGCCGGATTCGGAGGTCATGATCATTCAGTGGTTGAAAGAGAGATACAAGGAATATGTGGAGGTGCTTCTGCAGCTGTTGAAGGGTGGTGAGCCCGTTTTGCAGAGCACTGCCCTTACTCTAGCCATGCGTTTGGTCAAGGAGGAGACGTCAGCGCAGAAGGGGTCCGGAGAAGATGCATGGAGAAACGGCGTGTTCTACCAATTGGTGTATACTTTGGTCGCTTCACCTGCTGCCGAGCATGCGCGCGAGGAGTTTGTGGAGAAGTTCATTGAGGAGCATGATGATGTCAGGTTTTATGCCCTGATTGCGATTGCGTAGGCTGCCTCCACATCGTCTTCTGAAGTATGTTGCTGACTTAGGTAGATCGTGCCTGAAAAACTCATCTACGCCGGCGGAGCAAGAACAGGTTGTTGCCAGCAGCTTGTCGATCCTTTCTACCCTGGAAGGTGTACCGGAATCCAAGGATGAGCTTGAGGATTTCTATGGCCCGGAGCCCGACCACCACAAGCACCCGCTCTATTCGCTGTCTGCGCACAGGCGACAAGGCCAAGATGCCTGGCTTGCTGTATTCCGCGCCGGCCTGGACAAGGAGCAAAGGAAGACTGTTTTGAACATCATGACTTATAAAGTCACACCGTGGTTCTCCAAGGTCGAGATGCTCATGGACTTTCTCACTGACTCGTATAACGTAGGCGGCGGTACCTCGCTGCTCGCCCTTTCCGGCGTCTTCTATCTGATGAGGGAGAAGAACCTGGATTACCCGTCGTTCTTCACCAAACTTTACTCCCTACTGGATGAGGGCATTCTGCACTCGAAGCACAGATCAAGATTTTTCCGTCTCTTGGACGAGTTCATGTCGTCCACTCACCTGCCGGCAGCGCTGGTGGCCAGCTTTATCAAGCGACTCTCGCGGCTGGCGCTTCATGCACCACCAGCGGGCATCGTTGTTGTCGTACCTTGGGTGTACAACATGCTGATGAAGCACCCTGCATGTACATTCATGATCCACAGAGTAACAAGAGATCCCGAAGCGCGGAGAAAGCTTGAAGAGGAGGGTATGGAGGATCCGTTCAGAATGGAGGAAAGCGATCCGATGGAGACCGACGCGATTGAGAGCAGTCTCTGGGAACTCGAGACATTGCAGTTCCACTATCATCCCAACGTCGCCACCCTTGCCAAGATTATCTCTGAGCAGTTCACCAAACGGTCATACAACCTGGAGGATTTTCTGGACCACTCGTACAATGGGGTAAGTCACACGTCACATGCCACTACTAAGTGTACGGAAGACACTAACAAGTTCATAGTTGATTGAAGCAGAGTTTGGCAAGGAGATAAAGAAGGCACCAGTTGTGGAGTATGAGATCCCGAAGAGAATCTTCACAGCAGAAGGCTCTGACTTGGGACCTCTGGGCGGGCTCATGACCAAAGTTTTGGAGACTTGCTGAATCGGCCTCGGGGGCAAGACAATATGAAGATTTCCGCTGTTCGCTTGCCAATGTTCACTCCTGAATCTCAACCAAATAATGTCCCCCGTGAATGTTGTTTGATGAGGCCCGACTGCTGAAATGCAATGAAGATCTCAATATCTGGCATTTAAATCGATATACAAAGGGGTCAATGGGAATCAAAATCACGAGCGAGCTCAGGCCGGCTCGATGCCCGCTGCATGAATGAGGCAGAAGCTTAAAGAGGAAAAGCTTCGGGACGTTGGGCTGCGAGTCATGTCGTAGGGCTGAGACAATCACGTGCGACGTTGACTTCACTTCGTGCGCGCCTCAAGTCCGCGACGCGCTCTCGTCCTTCCTCTTGTCGCACAGCCACCCACGACACTGCGCGCATAGCTCATCCACCCTTCGCTGTTCGCCTCCACTTGCCCTTGCTTCCGTACTCACGGTCGGAACGCTCAACATGTCCGAAGACAGCGAATTACAAGCAAAGATCGCCGCTCTGGCTGGTAAGCCGCAGACTGCCAAACACCGTCGCCGCTCGCCCTGACAGACGTGCCCGCCGCAGGAAGGATCAACATCCACAAGCAGCAGCAGCAGCAGCAGACCGAAGACCACCACCCCCCTGCCTACTACGGTAAACCCGCGAAGCGGACGACTCGCCACCGTGAGAAGACCATGGCTGATGCTGGACAAGGTCGCGGTCGCGGACGTGGCGGTTGGGCGCCCTACCGTGGCACCCCATACGGCGCTCCGCGTGGCCGTGGTGGCAAGGTGTTCAATCGCACTCTGGTCCTGAACAACAACCGAGCCAGTAACGCTTCGTCTGCCGATATCACTTCCCCGACGAACGCATCCACTGCGGACGGCGCCCCTTCGCCGCACACCAATGAGGCATCTGGATGGGTCGTCAAGCGTGATAGGCATATGCAGCTGATCAACCCCGCTATCTACGATCAGGTGGCTCAGCAACGGGCCAAAGATATAGAGCAGAGCACCGAGCAGCGCCGCCAGCAACGCAACCTGAAGGAAAAGGCCAGGCTCAGCAAACACTTCCAGATGACGCTGGAGCCCGGACAAGCCTCGATTGGAGACCAAGCTGCCACGACCCCGCAGAAATACGAAATCGAAGTCGACAACATCCGCTTCCGCGTCACCGATGGCGGCAGCAAGCTCGTTAGGATCTCTAGTACGTCGGCGGACATGGCCGCTCAGCCGGTAAATGGACGTTCTAAAAATGCGACAGACGATCCCAGCACCGCACGCACAACGCCGAAACAGGCCAAGATTGGTGGTGTTACGTTCTTGAGAAGCAAGAACGGCAATCTCTACCGTTCTGGCCTCATCAAGAACAAGCAGTACGTCGGGATAAGGGTTGCACCCGCCAGCAGACTAACGGGGCCGCAGGAACAAGCCTGTCAAGAAGATCAACGAGCCTTGCCCAAGGTTCACTACCACCGGTTGGCCCTTTCCCTCCCACTCAAAGGATAAAAGCGAGGGCGTGCCTCGCGGTCCGGTTCGTATACCCAGAAGCCACACTAACGCGAAGAACAGGAACGTGCGCCAAGGGGCCGCTGTGTCGCTATCTGCATGACCCGCACAAGGTTGCCATCTGCAAGGACTATTTGCTGAGAGGCAACTGCGCGCTTGGCGACGGTTGCGACCTGTCGCACGACCCCAGCCCCAATCGCGTCCCTGCATGCGTGCATTTCATGCGCGGCAACTGCACGAACGACGCTTGCCATTACGCGCACATCAGAGTTAACCCGAGTGCGTCTGTGTGCCGTGCTTTCGGGACGGTCGGCTACTGCGAGAAGGGATCTGACTGCGCCGAGCGCCATGTGTTTGAGTGTCCTGATTATGCTAACCACGCAGTCTGCCGCAACCCCAAGTGCCGGCTTCCTCACGTCGACCGGGCTGGCCAGATCCGCAAGGCGGCGGCGGCGCAAACGGCCAGTGCCGATGCCGAGATGGGGTCGCCAGATTTGTCAAGTGACGATGAGTACGACGAGATCGACAGCGACGACGTCGATTCGGATGATGAGATTGAGGAAGACGTGGTCATGCACGGCTCGGACGACAACGGCCAGGAGCTGTCGCAGCAGCAGGATTTTGTGGGCTTCTGATGTGCAAGAGTAAGTCGTTTTACACCGGCACGGAGAAAGAGGAGAGATTCCCACCCCATTGTAGTGCTATTTCCAGGGCCATCGATTCCCCGTTCGGTGGAGCCCCCCTTCTGGCGGCGGCGTGCTCAGTGAGAGCCGCTGCGCATCATTGCCCGGAGTGATTGGTTGATACCCCGTTGACGGAGCGCGGGCGTTTGCTGTATAGTAGCTCGGGACGAGAAGAAATGAAAACGGTCTTGAGAAGATTAGCCTTCCCCACGCCAATCATGCGGCGCGGGCGGTGTCAAGCCGCATCCGCAATGGAGTCTATGCCACCTGAGCTTAACTGAATCGCACTACGCGAGAGCCATCCGGGTCCAGAAGGGCAACTTGATCTCCGCACAGCAGCGCCGCCCGGCCGATCCCTACTTGGCTTCGCATGCGGGGAAGGTCGATCTCCCGCGACATTCGCAGCTCCGTATACCACGGCGGTCGCGGGGGAGGCGCTCGTGGCGGCGTCCGGACGATCAGCGAGCGCTTTGTGCCTGGCGCATTTAATTAGCCAAGCCGGACAGACTGGGGCTCGCGATTCAGTAGGCACCACCTCCCGCACGCGGCTGAGCCCCTCCCGCTGACCACAGCTCCCTGCGCGCCTGTACATTAAGCCCAACGCCCAGCTCCATGCCTCGGCCGCTCCTTTCCAGACTCTCACGCTCAATCGCCGCGTCGCATGAGCACGCGGGTCCCACGTCCGCAAGCCCGCTCCTCCGCCCGCCCGTTTCAAACTAGAATCCCCCGCGCCTCCTCCGAGCGCCGCCCGCAACAGCAACACCATGACGCTCAAGGACCTGCTGAAGAAGAAGGACAGAATCGGGGACGAGGCCGCCGCCCAGCCGCTGCCGCCCCGCGCCAGCGCCGACGATGCAGCAGCGCGCGCGCCGCCCCCTGAGTTCACCTTCATGCGCACAACCACGAGCACCCAAGAGGTCATCGCCCCGCCGAGCTTCCCCGGCGAGCAGCCGCCGCCCAAGACGCCCACCGGCCACCACGGCGCCTTCCTCTCCCCCAACGACGTCTCGCCCGGCGCCAGGTCGACCCCCGAGACGCGCAGGAGCATATTCCGCACCTTGTCCAGCGCCGGCTCCTCGCCCCGCGGCGGCGAGAACAAGCGCCTGTCGGAGCGACTGCACCTCGGCGGCCGCTCGCGCTCCGCCTCGAGCCTGGTCAGCCTGCCATCGGACCTGCCTGCCGTCGACGAGAGCGTCGCGCGCAGTGCCGACGACGAGGCGCAGTGGGAAAAGAGGGCGACCATACTGGCGAAGGGCACCTTGATCAGCAAGTCGGGCAACCTGGGAGACGGGGGGCTGGAGGCGCCGCGCAGGAGCCCAAGCCCGGCCGGCATCGACCCGGGGAAAGACGTATGTTGTCTCTCTCTCTCTACACCACACGTTGCTGCTGCTGCTGCAGGAGCGCTATTTGTGAGACATGAATGCTGAGGCTGGCGGGGTTCGCTCCGCGCGCGCGCGCAGGCAAACATACAGGAAGCCATCAGGCTCCACGAGGCTGGCGGTGAGTCTCATGCCGTCATACAGGGACCAACCCAGAAGCTGACCTTTGGGGGCCACGACGACAGATCTGGAGCGGTCGACGGAGATTTTTGGGCGGCTGGCAGATCCGAATGGGACCAACAATGCGCTGAGCCAGGTGCTATACGGGCTCGCCCTGAGGTCAGTCACACCTCAGCCTCCCCTCCCCTCCCTCCCATGATGCGGCGGCTGTGACATGTGCGGGCGGCGTGCTGATGGTGATTCATGCGAGGCAGACACGGCTGGGGCTGTCCGCCAAATCCTGAGTTGGCAGTCACGTATCTCTCGCATGCGGCATCGAACAGCGCGGAGATAGAGGCTCTAGCGTTGCAGGCGGGCATGAAGAAGGGCGGTGCGGCCAAGGGTGAGCTCGTTTTGGCCATGTTCGAGCTTGCCAATAGCTTCCGGCACGGCTGGGGCGTCAAGAAGGATGCGCCGGCAGCCAGGCAATACTACGAGACGGCGGCCAACCTGGGCGACACTGACGCAATGAACGAGGCGGCGTGGTGCTATCTCGAAGGGTTTGGCGGCAAGAAGGACAAGGTGAGTCACCCGCAAGGCCGAGTTTGGGCAATCAGGCGGGCAAAGAGGAAGGGGAGAAGAAAAAGAAAAGAAACATGTCCTGCGCAAGCCACATCTTCCATGTGCATCATGCGCCGGCACATCTCTCCGACAGCCTCACTTGTTGGGCAGCGACAGGCAGGGGCTAATCTGGTTCACACGCATTGCAGTTCAAAGCCGCACAGTTCCTTCGATTGGCGGAGGAGAAGGGAAACAAGACGATTGGCAACACCTGGTAAGCATGCTCTCTCGTTTTTCACCCAGCACACGCGCCCGTTTGGTTTCATATCCCCGATGTCTCTGCCCCAATGTCTCTGCCCCGATGGCGCTCTGGTCCGATGGCTCTGCCCCGATGCCTGCCCTGTCATGCGCAGGAGGTAGGTAGGAGAGGACAGGCTCGTCACTCGATGCTCGGCCGTCACGTCACGTTACCGGCAGATGGCGGAGATGGCGGCTTTGCGGGAAGCGGGTTCCACGCCAGCCCGCAAATGATCGCACTGCGTCATCGGAATCCACCTTGCGGACCCTGGCCGCGTTCGTGCCGCGGCTGGCGAGGCGGCTGGCGAGGCGGCGGCGAGGGCGGCGGTGATGGCGATGGCAGCGGGCGGCAGCGAGCGGCAGGACTCTCTCTCAACAGCACACAGGCGTGGAGCCAGCTGTGGCTTCGTCACGGGCACAGCCGGCCGGCAGCGTTGCCGCGGCGCAGAGCGGGCTAGCGCGTGTCAAGGGCCGGGGGGGTGCTGGCAAGCATTGGCTGTGGGCGGGAGTCGCGGGAGTCGCGTACACAGCTCCGACGGGCGGCACCAACAAGTCATCAGCCTCTGCTCCGACTGCCACGGCTCTTTCGCTCGCGCCCTCGCGCCCTCGCGCCCTCGCGGCCTCGCTCGCTTAGCGCCGCCGCAGGAGAAGAGGCACGCCTCGGCCCCCACCCACCTGCCCAGCGTGCCAGTCTGCACCGACCCCTCCCAAGCCATGCACCAGCTACAGCGTCCAAGCCGGCCGCATGCGCCCTACCCTGCAGTCACCTCAGAGCCTGCCTGGCCCGCCGCTTGGCTCGCCGCTCCTGCCTCTGCCGCGCATACACGTGGCAGTGCAGCAGTGGTGCGCGCTCCGCTGCCCGTTCGCTTGTCCCCGGCCAAACACGCGTGCACACCACACCACCCACACCACCAGCCTGGATCGCGCGATGACGGGCAGGTTCGTCGAGCCTGCCGACCGGGTGCGCCGCCGGTGGTGCTGGTCTGGCGGGCCATCTTGCGTACGCTCTCGCGATTCCGATCCCAGATGGGGCGCCAGCAGCGGGGAACCGCCGGGAACGAGAGAGAAAGCACTGGTACCAGACGGCAGGTGCCCGCGCACGGCACAGAGGCAGGAGCAAGCAACCGGAGCAACGCGCGGAACCGCAAGAGATTGAGAAAATATCCCCTGCCTCTGTGTTGTTTTCCCTTTTCCCTTTCGGTTTCTGTTGAATCTCTCTCTCTCCTCTCGTTTCGTTACCCTTGTTTTCTGCTTATCCATCCAACCCGCTCGCCGCTTTTGCCCTCCCCTGGCCGATCTGTCTCCTCTCCCATCCTTTCCGGGAGCGAGCAATGTATTGCTTATGCAGCCCTGGTTTTTCTCACTCCATCCCGTCTGCACCATGTTCCTCGATCTGGTTTCGTGCACGCCTTGGACGGTGATGTGCTGGAAAACTAGACGAGATATAGACGTGGATGGCTGTGCTAATAGTTCGGCACGAGTGAGGAGAGGGGGAGAGCGCAGGCGGGCGGGGGACCTGGTCCCCCGTTCTTTTTTTTTTTGTCTCAATCTTCTTACTGCTACCATGTGTTGTGGGATTACGGATCTGCTGACATTTTTGACTTTTGCCGGTTCACAGGATCTGGAAAGACAAGTACAACCCCAAGACATGATAATGATGATGACAATGGCTTGCTCTGCCGCAGCCGAGGAGTAGTGGCTGGGGGTGGTGCGAGAGAAATCCCAGATGGGGGGGAGTGTGAGATGCGTGAGGCGCAGCTCTTACGCACACACACGCAGGACGGCAGCTGGGCGTGGCTGGGCCATAAGCTCCGTTGGCATGCGGAGGGGGGAGAGAAGCAAGAGGTGGCGTTGGTGGTCTTTTTTTCTTTCCGGCATCGTTTCCGGCATTGTTCTTTGCTCGTTTGGCTTGTCCCAGTGCTATTGGCGCTCCACCAACCTTTTATGGTTTGCCCAGATGGACTGACCGGACGGCTGAATGAAGCGGAAGGCGGGGGACGGGCAATGAGATGCCAACGGTGCTTCTCTCGCTTGTCCGCGCGGTCTTCTTTCCATCTCGCCCTTCATCCCTTCCTTCTTTCCTTCCTTTCGATCCATCCCGCGACGGGGACATGACGAGCGAGGCGGCCGGGAAGTGGCGACACCTACGGGCGCCCGGCCGGCCGGCAGACATGATGGGCAAGAAAGCAGGTAGGTTGGCGAGGGAGATGTTGTTGGCATCTGTTTGCTTGTGTTTTTTTTTCTTTGTCTTTTCTCTCTGCTACTACCCCATTAGCCTTGTGTGTGTCGTCATTGTTTAGGTTTTACTCAGTCGTTTCTGCTTTGTTGCTCATCTTGTTGCTCATCTATGTTTTCCTCTCTTTGTTGGCATTCTACTGGCTGGGAAGAAGGGAATTGGGAGGATGGGTATAGGAATTGGGGG